TTTTTTTTTTTTTTTTTTTTTTTTTTTTTTTTACAATTTTGGTATAGTTGCTAATTGGGTTGATCTATCAGCTAAAGGCATACTTTACAGTCCCTATACACCAACTAATGATTAATCGATTACTAAATTAGTAGATGATTATTTTAATAATCAATTAATTCAACTAATTTAATTATTTATTAAATGTATTAAAGTTGTGTTGAATATCATTTGCTCTGATCATCCGCACTTGATAGAGAAATGTTTTTATGGCACAGACATGTTCAAACAGAAGCTTAATATTATGTACCAGTAGGTTAAAATAACAAATGACTGTCAAGAAAGAGGTTTGCTACTTTAAAAACACCAAAACAAATAAAGCCCCACTCAAAACAAAAATTAAATTGAAATGAAAATAGTTTACTAGTGAGATGTATTACCACATGGTTCATAACATGAATACCCAGCACAGAAAACAAACAGTGGACAACATTCGACTATAGACATGTGTTTGGGTTTTGGTTTCAACTAATTCCTTGCCCCTTATTTATGTTCAAATAGGTGTTGCCATACTCTAGTGTTACTCTTAATGAGGAATTGGCCTATTAGGTAATTCCTTTGCGTTTCAGTTTCTTAGTTTGTTCTTATAATTCTATGATATATTCTATGATATGATATATCAATGATACTACCCTTTCCTTTCATGAGAAGTCTCTGCATAATAGTTCAGCTTCCTCTTTGTTCATTAGTCTGCCTCCCTCAGCTACCCAGCCTTCATTCTGCCTCATCTTCTCCATAGTTCCTCTGAGTAGCTCCACTGGTTCATTTGTCTTTCAAGCCCTGTCTCAGTGTATAACATCACTTGTTGTCACCCATATTTTTTTCAGACTGTTATAATTCTATCTCCATGTTCTCCATGATCTTTTCAGCTCTTTCATCAATTTTGCATTTAAATATCTATAACTTATATTATTTAACACATTGCTCTAAACTTCCTGTTTGCCCCAAAACAACCTACATGACATGACAGGGACATCACAAAACTATCTGGCTGTAACTAGGCAGGTTTTCTTGCTTCCTTTGAGCAAGTATATGTCAGTTTTTTAGAACTATTAAGGCATTTATAAAAAATGTAAAGCCATATCATTTTAACAAACAGTAAAGGTATTTCTCTGATTTATGTTATACCTGACCGACTTTCATCTGTGCTGCTAATGGGGCTAAGGACTTTTCCTCTCCCTGGGCTAGTAAAAAAGGGGAATGTCACTCACTTATAAGGATGCAAATGCAAGATGGGGAAAAATGGTAAACATTTTTGTTATAATTCCTGACTTCCACCACTTTCCCTGACTTCCCTGACTTTCACCACTCCAGCTTTTGTTGCAAGTCTCTGCAGACGGGCCATTATCACCAAGCACAGTATTTACTTGCATCCTATTTTTTTCCCCTCTTTAGTTTGCATAATGAAAGCTTTTATTGTAGGATTGAATATAATCCAAAGGCCTGATAAAAGCAATATGTAAGTAAAACATATTGCTGATAAATTGCACTTTAGACAGCTAAAGTGCTGTGAATACCAGCAGCTGAAAGATGACTGTGTACAAATAAGAGCATTCTCAAAGCGAAATAAGATGTGCTATTCTGATACCCCATCTATAGGCGGCACACAAATAAATATCCTGTTGGGACAGTTTAAATAATTGTAAAAAAGTAATTTTTCTTTTTTTACTTTAACAATTTTATATGTGCACTTTGGTCCATATCTGCTCAATAAAGGCACATATGGCAGGATGGGAAGTACCATTTGGTACCATCAAAGAAAAACAAACCGCTCTGTTAACCATTTTGCTATGGTCTACCTCTTTGGCATTCAATGATCACTCTAAGTGCTGCTGCATTAAGGGGAAACAATGTGTCTGGGATGCATGTCTAAATAACTTAATACTGTTTCTGAGTTTTTAGTGTCTAGTTTGTATTTTACTCAACTTGATATTTTTTAAATAAGTTGTAAAAGAAAAGAAGGGAGGGATGGTGGATTTTTTATTTTTGTTTTCGGAAGCAGACATAGCCTAATTAATATAATCTATTAACCCAAAGTAATACGCATAGTATGGTTGTTACATGCCGCCCTTAGCCAATCATTGGCCACCCCTACCAGTTTTTCCCTGTAATACACATAGTGGCAACAGTAATACTCTCAAGTGGAATATTCTAAACATTCTATTTTTTTGGTGGTTAATTATACACATTAATATATACTAACATCAAAGATGATAAGTACAGAATTCAGGCTCTTTTCAGAACTAGATTTTGTGATATATGGGGTAAAGAGAAAGATATGTCTCTGCAAGTCATCTAGGAGTCTTCAGTGAAATCAAAGATAAATAACAATTTTAATAAAAACTTATCAAATAATTAATTTATGTAGCTATTAGTGCTTGTAAATATAAATTTTATGCAGAATGTTTATTGATACAAGTAGGTAAGTAATGACAATGGAAAAGATTTATGCCCCAGAACTCAAACCTGAGTTTTATCCACATAACCTTATATCTAGAAATTACAATTATGTTTAAATATATGCGTCTATTTGTTAGCAAAGGCTTTAGGAAAGAATAGTTTGTCTTTATTTAGAAACTATGGATGTTTTGCTCATTCATTTTCCTGTTGGAACAGTGTATATTGACCGTGAGTTTCTGGTGCCTATCCACTTTCGGCCACCCCTCAGTGTACATTGGTTATTGCCTGGCCACCCTTATAAACATTTTCTGCCTACGCCTCTGGTACTGTATATACCCCACAAGGGATGTTTTACACTTAATGTTTTTTCATC